AATATTTTTGCCGCGTTGAAGGATTTGGCATATTATCAGCTGAGAATATAGTCACCTATAGTCAGGATGATTTTCCAGTTTTAAAAGTTCAACATTGTGCTAAATGTGTGATTACATTTTATAACTACACATGAACAAATGTGTTAAATACCTGATTTCTGCATATACTATGTTTTCTGTGATGTTTTCCAGCGATCTAGTGTATATTTTATATTAGAAAAGGATAACCAATTTACCGAAATCAAGATTTGACAGAATTATTTTGCTACAATTTGATAGTTTTATCTGAATACATATCATTTCGTTTTAACCATGAACTTGTCTCAAGTAAAAAGTGAAGGAGTTCGGTATTATTGTATGCGTGCTTAGAAACCGAAAGAATTCTATGTTACATCTGCCATGTAAAGGGGGCACAGTTGGCCCAGTCGTCTAAGGCGCCGCGATTCGCTGTGCAGAGTTGCGTCCCTTAGGTACGCCAGAAACCTATGATTGTGGATTCGAATCCCGGTTCGCTCCCATTAAATTTCTAGGTTTGTCAGCACCATACTCGTGCTCGTGGGTTTCACCGAAGTGGTAAACGTCTGAGACCTGCATCACTTCGGGCTTTCCTCCCACATTAAGCTGACACGCCGTGATATGACTGGAATACTGTTAAAAGCGGTGTTAAACCAAACTCACTCACTCACTCACTCTGCCATGTAAAACACTTCAAGATTTGTAGTACGCCTGTTTTATTATAGGTTAAGAATGAGCATGTATATAAAAATATGATTCTGTGTTATATGACTGTGTTTGTGGACAGAATTCGAAGCAAGACACATACAAGTACATACCAAATAGGGTTATTGGTATCATATCAGCCACGAATGACTGTGTCAACACCATGACCCCGATTTTCCGTGCCCGGATATTATTTCTTTCTGTGGGAAGGATCGATAACGTTCAAAATTGTTCCACGTCGATAGATTACATTTTCAGGTGGAATTGGCTCATTACGACACAGTAAATATATAAACGAAAACATGTGCAAAACATATTTAACTGCAGAAAATAATACTATACACTAACTTCATGTATAGAACCATTTGTAGTTCTCTGTAGCTCAAAGTCGGTTATCGATTGGTCATTTGTATCACCATTCAACATCAACAGACCTTTTAAATATGTCATTCTTAAGATAAGGCAATTGATTTCTTACGCTTACAAGACTAATCAGCGAACATAACTCCAATTGTCAAGTAAGTAGAGTAGATGGTTCAATTTGATTTCTGTCTAAAAAGTATATAAATAAAATGTAACTGGGCAACATTAATACAAGGACTTAATTGAAAGCTGTTTTGAGTGTCCTGGAGATTAATTAAACAGAGCTAGTGTTTCAAGATAACAGTCAGTTGTTCTGATTGGTGGGCTCAGGTACCACATGTCTGCATCGTCAGTCTCAGCCTCGGGGGTTCCAAGGACTAACAAGGACTTTCATTTATAAGACTAGATACATCAAAGACAACGTATCCTGCTGGTAACAACCTGAGATTGTTTCATGCTCTATCTGTCTGTTGTGATTCAGGTATATGCTTCATACATTCGTCGTTTCCGACTGACTCATGTTAAAGAGAAGCCGCGTCAATGTGTGGGCACTCCAGATCGCTGATTATTAGTGACGCGTCCTGTCAAATTATGACATACAGACACACACACACACACACACACACACACACACACACACACACACACACACACACACACACACACACACAAAATTGACACACACACACACACACACACACACACACACATACATACATACGAATATTGCTTAACACGTAAAAAAGGCGTAAAACAATACTCACTCACTCGTTAACACGAAATCCTCCGTACCATCAGAGATAGATCGAGTTATCAATGGTTTGAAACACGTGGATTGTCAATATATGTAATATAGTGTCGGTAGGGTTGATTCTAGGACTATACATGGTCTTTAGCGATGGAGAACGCATAATGAATGTACCATAACGCACCATAAACGTGCATCGTAATTCTGAACTAGTTTCTATTCTTGTACACCATCGTGACAATGCAGTAAATGTGACCATACATTGAAAAAGATGACGTTCTAACAAAACAAAACTAAATGCGATCATGCACTTTAACATATGTTTCTTTTTCCTACTTTAATCAGTTTAAATGTTGAATGTTATTTATAAATTACCTCAAGAGTTTTTGTAATGGCAAATACAAAAATTGCTGTCACCATAAAAAGGAAAAGGTCGCGATTATAAAAACCCGAATGGATGAGATCTGATTTAAACCTTATTGGTTACGTATCAGTCAAACACGACACTTCTTGACAAATGCTCTAATCATCCTTCAAATGGCGGACACGATATACACTATTAATGACAATATAATGAGGATTGAAATCTTTACAAGGCAGTGACATTAATTAAAGGTCGCCGGGATCCAATTGTGTGCTCTTTATTCATATTAGAAAGCTACGGATTGTAAGGGATTGATTCGACATTGACAGAATTACATTTTTTCTTCCTTTTTTCAAAGACCTTTGTATTGAGCCCGTTGGAGATATGACTCACAGGAACGTGTTTTTGAAAAAACAAGTACCCTCGATATGCGTCTGAGAAAAGAAGACAAGCAAACCTGAGAGGCATCAATGATTTAATGTCGCTTCAGTCGAGAGCGTTTAAAGCTACATTGACATGACGTGTGTGTTTCCGGTAACACAGGTCCTACGGAAGTGGTAAAACTCAAGGCATTACCGTTTCTTGTGTCAAAGAATACTCCAGTGTCATCTTTGAATAAGTCTCTGTGATTAGAATGACGGGATGTGGCAGGCTACGGCAACATATTGTAATTGGCATAAGGTTACGAGCATTTATCAACACTTCATCCACAAACAACATCCTATTGATCCCGAGGTGTTGTGCCTCGTCCGCAGATCGACTCACAGTTGTTGATTTTTGACAGAAACTGCCAAACTCAACCGTGGTTATCTGATGTTCATAATTAAGAGCTATTGTAAATAATACATAAATGTATAATTGAATGAATAACGGCACTGTTTCATTTTGCAAATTAAATTAAATCATGCGCACACATAGAATATTTTACTATTAATTTTGTTGTAACGGTTTTTCCATAATTACACATCCGTAGGGGATTTGTTAAAGTCAATGTTGTAGACGATCCATCATCATGAAGGGCTTGGGGCTGGTAGTGTCCGTCCGGGGCGATCAGTGTAATTGAACACTCTTCATCGGTTTGTAACATAAAAGAATTCTTCGGTAATGATTTTTTTTTTATTTTGCCTTAATCCTTCAGATTCATCTATTTATAAGATACTTTCAAGATTTTACGACTCAGGTACTGACGTCGGACATGGTGATGTTCTGTCTTCACAGGCATGAGCACGGTTGGCCCAGTGGTCTAAGGGCCAATCATTTGATATTCTGGGAGGCCGGAGATATTTTTGGAAGCAATTAATCTTCCCGAATACACGAAAATAACATACTTTCTCAGATTTTACCTAATAAAACAAATCGTTCACTCGACATGCTCGATTTTCTGAAATATTATTTTTGTGGGTTTAAATATTGATTAGATTAAAAGTGGTCGTAAAAGGCAAAATAGCTGTGGAAATTATGTTCAGGAAAGGAACACTGAAAATCAGTGATGGCACCAGGTGTTCGCGAAAAGGGTAAACATATGTCTGGATCCTCCTATCAGAGAAAGCAATTGTATGTCTTGAAGAACCGACTGAAAAACATTATCTGTCTCAGATTGTGAGGATGCAATATTTTATTTTTCTATACTTCCAAATAATATGGATATAATACCCCGTGTTTACGCCCTTAGTGTGTCCGTTAAAGTGTAACTTGAACCATAATCGATTATACAGTCTATCGAAAATCAATAATGTTCGCACGTAGTGATTATATCAAGGAATCTTGATTTGATTTGATCTATCGGAAACAATATTAAAAAATATAAATATATGTTTTTTACAAGAAGATTGTATATCAGGGAATGTGTATTGTTCAATCTGATCCATATTTAATCATTCGGTCTCTTAGGAAGAAGATCGAAAATATATCAATATTTGTTTGCAAACCACATTCGATTACGAAACAAATTAAAATAGCATATAGTAACGACTATGTTAAGGTTTGTTAGGAATGATCATAATAATGGGTAAGCTCCTTCACTGAATAAAGGGGTTAAGTGAGTGAGTTGGGTTTAACGCCAGTTAGAACAGTATTCTAGTTATATCACGCCGTGTCAACTTAATGTGGGAGGAAAGCCTTAAGTGATCTTAAAGTCTTAGACGTTTACCACTTCGCTGAAACCCACGAGCACAGGTATGGTGCTGACAGACATTAGAAAAACATAATGGGAGCGAACCGGGATTCGAACCCACTTTCTTAGGTTCCTTGGTTAAGACGAGTGGGGTGATGAAAAATAGACAATTTGGTCTGTCTGTATTTCATTGAAATGGTATATAATGATGTGATGTGATGTACAAATTTTGTAAAGGTTTGTTTCCAAAGTATGTACCGACATTGAAATATATGAAGTACTGTCTAGATATCGCATCACTGTTATCAGAATGTTCTCTTATTTATTGCTCGTTCCTTTTTTTCTTTTTCAACGCCAAAGCCAATTAAAAGAAGAGTTGAAAGAAATAGAAAAACATAAAATATATTACAAAACACAGTGTGGGTGCAATGGTCTTAAGTTGTCTGGACGGTCAAGGCAACGGATGCAGTTTGATAAAGTCTCCTTTGGGAGGCTTCAGATTGCTATCAGGACATCAGAATAAAGCGTTACCCCATTTTCAGATAGTGTGTGAGCTTCAACTAGTTCACATGGTAACAGTGAATAATAACTTCTATTGTGTCTTAAAAGCTTACCGTACAGATCAATGAAGTCCGCAATATAAAACGTCAAACGTTATGAAGTATTTCGTTGAGTGACTGAAGAAAAACGCCTAAGTGTTTGTGACTTTTATTCCCTTCAGAAAAATAAAACATTTTCTATTCATTTATTATCATAAAAGTCCGATTCATATTCAAAGGCCAAGATGCGACATGCATGTTCCATTATAGCAAATTAACTTCATCGTTATCTGATAATTATGTATCGGTGCTTCCGACACACCACGACATAATGACGATTTCTCTACAATAGGCTTACGCTTTATTGCTTTATTGCTCGCAGTTGGTTTTGAAATCAGAAATAATAGCACATTTACAAAGAACAGACTGATATAGTGAACTCTTTAGGAGAGAACCGTGGGCTATGCAGTATCACAGGTGAATCACAGTGGCAATGATGGAGTCGGATGACGTCACGAGCGGCTGATCAGGCTGTTTTTGGATTGGACCATATAAACAATAGAGTCTTTCCAGCAATGATTAGACTCGCTAGAGTCTGTAGACTGAGAGAGAGTTCACTTCTATAGAGGACTGACGCAACGAGATCGTTAGGGACTGTTTTTCAGCTATGGCTGGCTGACGAGACTCTCGCAAACTGGACTAGGTCTCGCGAGACTGATTCATGGATGTGCTGCCATGTCGTTGAGTGAACTCATCCAAACCAGAAAGTTCCCGAGTTCTTTGGTGTCAAGAAAGCCATCACCTGGAACAGAAAAAAAACATGTATAACCAAATTGAGACTCGATCTGGGAACATAGCGCTGACGGACTGTGGCAAATTGAGGTTATCGCAGACAAAAAAACAAGTTAGTGTGAACAAGGCGAGGTGAGGTGAAATGGGGTTAAACGTTGCGTTCAAGATTATTGCACTTATATAACGACGTGCATGCGTGTGTACATGTGTGTGTGTAGCTGTTTGTACTAGTCCGGACTAATGTCGAGTTTATAGTGCTAGCCCACTGAGATACCATGCCGCAGTTTAACATGAATACCCCACTCAGGCACAGTGTACTGACTCCGAGCCGACTTGTCCTTGTTTTAGCCCCTTAATGCTGAGTGTCAGACAGAGGAACAACATGTACTATCTTTTAACGTCTTTTGATATGACGCGACCGGGGATCGAATCCCCCCGACCTTCCGCTTCCCGGACAAACGCTCTACCACAAGCCAACGGAGGCGGTCTAAGTGTGAACAAATGAACCTGGTAAATAGTCCATCTGTAGATGACGGCTAATAGGCTTAGCTTGTCTCAATATCGGATATATGTGGTGCAGAATTATCCTCATTTTCAATGTTTTTGTCAAACATGTAGACGTAGAACAACAAGGAATAGACTACGTTTATATTGAGTTTAAAGTAAAATAATTTCTCTGAACATCGCAACGTTCCCGACACATTAAGACGACGAGAAGACAGTACCATATCTCTCCCCTATCGGCAAACACACTGTCCATGCCACAGCTCTTAATACACTCCTGTCATAGCAAATATTGCTGGTTCTCGTTCTTTCACCAAACTGAAAGCGGTAAAAGGTTTCTTATTTGTTTTTTCAATGGCCTATAATTCCATTTTCACAACTTTAATGTATTTTGTCACTTTAACGAAACAATACAAATTTGGAAAATATTTCTTCGAGGAGATTCCGTTCACACTGAAGCGTAATGTCGATATTCCGATAAGCATGCACAAGGCTGAATGAGAGGACCTTAGGCTATTGGTCGGGACAGTGAGATGGAAAGAGAACCGGGAATATCTGCTGCCTCGACGCTCTATTTGTATTATATCATATCCATGAGTTAAGTGAGGCAGCTGTATCTACGAATCAAGAAACATAATTCGCAAACTTGTTCTAGTGGAAGAATGATGCTATTGGTTTTACGGTTTATGAACAATTCTATTGTTTTTACACTCGAGTGTACTGACTGTCGTGGAATCATACCGTCCATTGCTGCCCAACTACATGAAACAAATGTAACCCTGGGACACACGGCAACAGGGCAACAACTACAACGTCTGGTGTATACTCAATAAGGGGTTGCTGTCTCACTTCGACGTCTGGATTATACTTCTCAAGGTGCTGATGACTCATTACAGCGTCTGGAGTATACTTCATAAGATGTTGTTGGCGCACTACGACGTCTGGAGTATACTGCATAAGATGTTGTTGCATCACTACGACGTCTGGAGTATACTCCATAAAATGTGGGTGACTCACTACGATCTGTGGAGTATACACCATAAAATGTGTGTGACTCACTACGATGTGTGGAGTATACGCCATAAAATGTGGGTGACTCACTACGATCGGTGGAGTATACACCATAAAATGTGGGTGACTCACTACGATCTGTGGAGTATACGCCATAAAATGTGGGTGACTCACTGCGATGTGTGTAGTATATGCCATAAGATGCTGGTGACTCACTACGATCTGTGGAGTATACTCCATAAGATGCTGTGATTCACTACGACATTAGTGACTCTCTACGACATCTCGAGTATACACCATAAGATGTTGGTGACTAACTGCCACGTCTGGTTCGCACTCAGCAATATACCAGCTTTGTGACGGCGGTCTGTAAATAATCGAGTCTGGACCAGAGAATCCAGTTATTGATATCATGAGCATCGATTCACGCCATTGCGAGAAGAATACCAAAACAGCGAGTCTGACCACCCGATCCCGTTAGTCGCCTCTTATCACAAGCATCAGTTGCTGAAGACCTATTCTAATCCGGATATCTATAAGATGTTGGTGACTCACCACTTTCATAATTTGGAAAGACGGTAAAAGATTTCTGAGGTTGGATAGTTCGCAGCAATAAATATGAACTATAAGGCAAACGAAAGTTGTCACTTAAAAATAAGATTTGAAATAGGAAATTACAAATGTTATCAACACGTTACTAGACTTGAAATCAGTCGCCGAAATACTGCAAACTTAAGGTCCAAAACACAGTTATGATACCTATATCAAATTCATCACCGTCGAATAACAATTTCTTGTTTGTTTTATATAAAGCCACCATCAAAAAGTGGGTGCATACTTTCTTTTGCACGACTGTTAAGTTTTAATGTTTTAATTTTTTTACGATAGAACAGACACGAACATGTAAAAAAAAAACCTTTAAAATTCATCACAAAGAGGGTTTATGACTAAACGCACAACATTCAAAGTGTCGCCTTGAGAGACAGCTAGACACGAAAACGGTTTGCCATCCCACTCTTTTTACATGTGGCTTCTGTTTAAGTTACAGCCATTTAAACTTAGTTGATTTCTCATCGAACATGTTATGTAGAGTTGATAACGACCCGTGTCTTATACTATCCACGTGGACGTCAGGAACGACATTATGCCAGTATCCCCGGGTATTGTATGACCCGTTAGGGTCTCTATATAAGCTGGAGTTGTCAGACTCCATGAGATGCACGTTGGACTCGGCGCATTATGGAAATACTCATAGGTTACCAGTGGTTGAGAGATTCGTTGATGAAAAGGTTGTAGCACATCGAGTTTCATCTACCCGTTTTTAATATCTTTGCTCTTCCAATACATAATGATGATCTTAAACACAACGTGTTAATCATATACACCTGTTACTCTTGTATTTTAAGTTGGAGACATAACCAAGGATATTTAACCATAGGTTATCTGTGTCAGAAGGATGTTTAACCATATGATATCTGTGTCAGAAAGATATTCAACCATATATGATCTGTGTCAGAAGGATGTCCAACCATAGGTCATCTGTGTTAGGCGGATGTTCACCATAGGTTATCTGCGTCAGAAGGCTATTGAACCATAAGTTATCTGAGCCAGTAGGATGTCCAACTATAGGTTATCGGTGTCAGAAAGACGTCCAACAATAGGTTATCAGTGTCAGAAGGATGTTCAACCATAGGTTATCAGTGTCAGAATGTTGTTCAACCATATGTTATCTGTGTGAGAAGGATGTCCAACCATTCGTTATCTGTGTGAGAAGGATGTTCAACCATAGGTTATCTGTGTGAGAAGGATGTTCAAACATAGGTTTTCTGTGTGAGAAGGATGTCCAACCATAGGTTATCAGTTCTAGAAGGATGTTCAACCGTAGGTTATCTGTATGAGAAGGATGTCCAACCATTGGTTATCTGTGTGAGAAGGATATTCAACCTTAGGTTATCGGTGTCAGAAGGATATTCAACCATAGGTTATCAGTCCTAGAAGGATGTCCAACCATAGGTTATCTGTATGAGAAATATGTCCAACCATATGTTATCTGTGTGAGAAGGATATCCAACCATAGGTTATCAGTGCAAGAAGGATGTTCAACCATAGGTTATGTGTATGAGAAGGATGTTCAACCATATGCTATCTGTGTGAGAAGGATGTCCAACCATAGGTTATCTGTGTGAGAAGGACGTCCAACAATAGGTTATCTGCGTGAGAAGGACGTCCAACAATAGGTTATCAGTTTCTAGAAGGATGTTCAACCATAGGTTATCTGTGTGAGAAGGATGTCCAACCATATGCTATTTGTGTGAGAAGGATGTCCATCCATAGGTTATCTGTGTGAGAAGGACGTCCAACAATAAGTTATCTGTGTGAGAAGGACGTCCAATAATAGGTTATCAGTTCTAGAAGGATGTTCAACCATAGGTTATCTGTGTGAGAAGGATGTCCAACCATATGTTATCTGTGTGAGAAGGATCCCAACCATAGGTTATCTGCGTGAGAAGGATGTCCAACCATAGGTCATCAGTGCAAGAAGGATGCCCAACCATAGGTTATCTGTGTGAGAAGGATGTCCAACAATAGGTTATCAGTGCTAGAAGGATGTTCAACCATAGGTTATCTGTTTGAGAAGGATGTCCAACCATATGTTATCTGTGTGAGAAGAAAGCCTGACCACGTATTATCTTTCAGAGATGTGACAGAAGAATGTCAGAGAAGAGATTATGTTATGTAAGAAGAAAATGTTTTCTTTTGTGTGTCAGTTTCAAACTCAATATTTACTGTTAGTACTATAGTGCCATAACGTAACAAGCACGAATTATATATCAGAATCGAATGGGAACCAATCATGTTTCTGTTATGAAGCCTTTCGTTATGCTAGTTTTAAGTTATTTCAGCTGAATACTTGCAGACAAGTATTGACAGAAAATAGAAAACCGCTTAAAGTTCAGATTTAACTTAATTCAATTTGTCTTAGACGTGAGGGGCGGTCGGGTAGCCTAGTGGTTAAAGCGTTCGCTCGTCACGCCGAAGACCCGGGTTCGATTCCCGACATGGGTACAATGTGTGAAGCCCATTTCTGGTGTCCCCCGCCGTGATATTGCTGGAATATTGCTAAAAGCGGCGTAAAACCATATTCACTCACTCTTAGACGTGATGTTTTTGAAGGGAGAAGTTATATACACTATGCCTATTGTGTTTTATATCAGCTCCCTACCCAAACTTTCGTGGCAACAATCAACACCATTAATATTTATTCCTTGATTAATATCTATCACCGATGCCTACCACACTTGATTGATTTCCTTGTGTTGAGATCCACACTATGGTAGCCATAGAACTGTTATGCGTCAACACAAATCGAAGACAAAATTAAACCTTCAAGTATGCATTTTTGTCAATATCCGCCAACTTATCTGTGAATACAAATCTTCCTTTTCTTTCGCACCTAGGCTCCCATCGTGGCTACGGACTTCCCTATTGTTGGAT